GATGATAATAATAATAATAATAATGATGATAATCAACCATTTTTGTGGGATGCAGCTCTAGGCGTTAAAAAAATTGAAGTGGTACTGCCTATACCTTAATCCATTTCTCCATCTCTTCACCAGTGAAAATTGAGAGTTAAATTCATAGATCTTTGTGAATCTACCCAAGTCAGGACTGATTGCTGGAAATTAATTTAGTAGCCCACATGGTTTCAATGACGTTATTGGAGTACATTCCATGACTTAGCGATGCTGGTAATAGCCGTTAATTTCTCAGGCTTTCCGAGGTGTCTCATGCGTCGGCGAGCTTTGTCACGAAGCCTTCACAATGGTAATAACAACTTTGTTTCAGACAGGACCTTTCGGTCACATTTAGAGGCGTTTTATAATTGTAAAACCAGGTCGAAATGCAAATCATGACCCGGACGGCACAAGTCTACCTCGATCTCCTGAAAATGTTAATCCTTTAGCTTTTGTATATATTTGTTCGTTCGTTTGAAATTGCTCCATCGCGCCTGTGTGCCTGTGTGTACGAGTGTATGTTTGCATAATGTACTTATCTTTATAGCTCTCTAGTTGTTGGGGTTTTTATGTGGATGGACGGAGGGTGCTCTGGTGTGGCAGTCTCCTCCTTTACTACCAAGCCTCTATCGTTCATATCTCTACTCCTACTTTGTTTATTACCCTCTGGTGATACCTCTAATCTGTGGCATTTATATAATTATAACCTGTTTGTGTTGAAATGCCGTAGAGGTTTTACTAAGACTTAAGATATGTTTGATTGTATATATCCTTCAGAGTCCATCTGCGTGTCCTTTTCAGTAACCTGGCTGTGGAGGTGTTGGAAGACGTGATGTACGCTATTGGGGGATACAACGGAGACAGGACCACCTCTGTCGTGGAGTGCTACGACTTCACCTCTAACACTTGGTTCGTACCCTAACCAGCTAAAAATAAACCGTGGTAATAATGTTGTTACGATACCTTTGAATTACAAAGTTCTATCTCTAACAATTTTAGCCGTTTTTAATTACTAAGACTATGAGGTCAAAAACCAAAAGTTATATCTGCTCTATCAAAATCGTAAGATTATTCTGAGCTTTGCATTCTAAAAAGCTTGAGATGCTGTGAAACTCAAATTTTGTTACTTCAAATTTCTCAGATAGAACTTTGCAGTTCTAAGGTAACGGCTAGTCTAAACAGAAAACCTTTCGAAATACAGTCGAACATGTCCCAAGATGACCATTCATTGTTGAACTCAAGTGAGGAACTGGAAAGTGGCCGTTTATACAGATGATTGTCTTGGACAGGTGAACGCTACTGCAGGTCCAACTGTAATGTATGTGAAGGGGTTTCATTAAGGTGATAATATGTAATACCGAATTTTTTTCTGGTTTCACAGAAGAAGTAGATAAATTCACGAATAAACGTAGGTTAAATAAAGATTGACCATAACTGCATGATGACGCCTATATGGTTGAAAGTACGCTGTGGTAGCGATGTGTAAATCTGTTATATAGATTTTGTTTATAAAAATAACTAGAAATGCATACGCTAGGCCATAAGATGCTACATCCACAACAGAAAAATTGCCGTGTCGCAATACATAGAATACACGCCCTTGCTGGTCGTCAAAGTGTGAGGCACTACTTTTAGGGCTAATATGATCCAGGGCGCTGTCACGCTCAAAGTAGTTTTAAAAAAAATAAATAAAAAATAAAAAAAAAGGTGGTCTGACAGCTTCCAAGAATGGACTGGTTTGTCGGCAAGAGACTCCTCAATGGACAACAGGCAGAGGATACAGGGAAAATCTAGACCTCTTATTCGCTCTGTATCCCATTGACGACGCAAATCAAGGGACGAGTAAGTGAGAAGGTATAACGGAAGTGCGTCATTGAAGCACATACGTGAGTGACCATCTGAGCTCACCAACAACAAATAGCGCATCAGGGGAGAGTGAACACTTTTTTAAAACCACCTCTATAAGTGCGAAATGTACTTAGCTAGCTCCATCTTCTGTTGATCTCTGTAATATTTTCATTTTCCATTGTCTTGGCATTTATTACATCATAATCATATCCTCCAATCCCCCCCC